GTGAGGCTTCTGGAATTGCGAGTTACCATGGATTGTCTTGATCGCTATGATTGACTCAGATAGTCGCTCACCCTATTCGTTCCATTCTAATCCGTGGGTCCCAATGTAACGTTCTACAGACGTTCTTCTTGGTCCATTGTTGGCGTTGAAATCTCCAATGATGACCTTGAAGAATGTGTGGTCTTCTCTGTAGAACTTCTCCAAGTCCGTATAGAACGCTCCGACTTCTTCTTCGTCATAGTTTGATGTCTGCGCGTAAACGACGAAAATTGTCAAAGCCGGAATTGATCCACGTCTTTTTTAATCGTAAACGTCCGATTCGGGTTATAACTTTTTCGAATGAATCATGGAAGTTCATGGACAAACTCGTGTTGACGAGAACGCCGATGCCGTCTACTTTAATCTCCTGTCTACTACTAACCTCTACTGTCGCATGTTCCGAGGAACAGTTCTTCTCCGGTATCTTAGACGGCGTTGAAAGGCTGATGTCTCCTCGCCTAGGCCAGGCCGATGACGCCGTACCTTATCCTTCTTCCTTGCATGATCAAGTTTTCTATCGAGGACTCGGATGCGTTTGTGCATTGTAGGTACAGATCGTCACCATAGTTCTTTGAAATCCAGGCAGCTTCCATTGGCCCTGAGATTTTAGCAGCCTCTCCGTACTCGTCCTACCCAGCGATGTAAAATTGGGGCCCTTTCGGTGTATAGAACGGCATCTTTGATTTTTGATCGTTGGCGCAGGTCGCTGCTTCGGATCCCATCTCTCACTTGTGTGATACGGGATACTCCTAGTATCGCCCTTTCGATAGCGCGTTCGATAACGCTGAGTGGATCTTTCATCCTGCTTGCGCAACGACCAGGTTTCTGACCCATACGTTAAGGCAGGAAGTACCATTGAGTCGATTCAACATGTTGATTTCACGGCCTAGGTAGACATAACTGGAGCATTCGGAGATTTTCATTCCGTTGAGCGTGAATGGTGCATGCGAAACCAATCCGTTCCTCATCAACGTTTTTGTGAGATTTAATCGAAGGCCAATCATTCCGCGGGCTCTTTCAAAGTCAGCAAGCACACGTTCCGCTTGGCTAATCTTTGGTGTTATAAGGACGATGTCATCAGCAAAGCGAAGATGGTGTAACTACCGACCATCGATTTTCACTCCCATATTGTCTTCTTCCAATGTTCGCATGACGTTCTGGAGAGTGGCGATGAATAATTTTGGCGAGATGGTACCGCCTCGCTTAACCCCTCTTTGGACGTCAATGTTGATATCGTTGTAGAATCGTGTTATCTTGGTTGTGAAATTTTTGTACAGCTCACGAAGAATGTTTATGTACTGAATAGGGACTCCCTAACCATCAAGTGTTTCCATGATTCTTTTCTATCCCAGTTGAGTCAAAGGCCTTCTGTAAATCGACGGCAGTAGGATAGAGCGGTCTTTTGTACTCTCGCGATATTTCAATGAACCTTGTTATCGTGTGGATGTGGTCCATCGCACTAAATCCTTTTCGAAACCCTGCTTGCTCATATGGCTGTCCTTCGTCCAGTGTTCTGTCAATCCTGTTTAGGATGACTAGAGTGAAAAGTTTGTAGGCGACAGACAGTAAGCAGATTGAGCGATAGTTGCCGATATCGTGGAGTTCACCCTTCTTGAACAATTACACGGTCTTGCTGGTCTCACTGAGTAGGGACCTTGCGTTCAGGCAAGTAACGTATGAAGAGCCGAGCCAGTGTGTTTACGATGACTGGCGGAGGGTTCATCAGGAGTTCTGATCTTACCCTGTCCGGCCCTGGTGCTGCTCGATTTTTCACCGACGAGATACCATGTCGGATTTCGGAAGGGAAAACCAGTGGTACAACACATCCATCTTCGTTTATTTCACATGACGGAATGTGGACGTGCCTATCAAAGAGATCCGAGTAATATTCGTGAATAATTTTCTCCATTGCCTTTCTGGACGCTGTAACTGTAATGTCTGGACGTCGGAGTGCAATCATCTTGGTCTTGTAATTGGCGAAGCTTCGGTGGGCTTTGCGAATTCTTTTCGCAGCACCTTCAGCTTTGACCATTACTGCTGCTCTTCTCCCTTTAAGATTTTCTTACATCACCTGTCTGCTTTGTTCAAATAACTTCTCATATTTTTCTTGAGCAAGAAACGAGAACACAAGCGCGCCAAACTTTGGAGGCATTCTGGATTAATTCCAAGAATCCGAAAATGAACCGCAGAGAAGGACGCCTCATTATCACGCGTGATATTGGGCAGTATAGCCTGTTATTCTGATAGGAGAGCACATTACGCTTCCATGTGAATTCTGTGCGGTTGGTGTTCACGCGACATAGTGGAAGACTCATAGAAAGCGGTGAGTATGCAGGGCTATGTTAAACGTGTTTGAAATCTTGGTTTAGCGTTTTCTCTGTTTCGTTACGGAGGTGTTTGGCCGGATAGGTCTCTGTCAACTTGACCTTTCCAGGCTCTGAGGAAGGCGAAATCCGCCGAAACGTCAGCTTGTACGTAAATAAAGAAATAAAATAGCACCTCGTGTTTGCTGAAGAGAAGTAGAAAGAATTAGATGGCAGTAGTTTGAAACGTATATCTTTAAAACAAAGTGCCAAAATATATTTTTTTAAACTAGTCTCATTCTGCTTGGTAGCCAATGTGCAGAATGACGAAAGACCAATTTGCTAGGTAGGAAGTCGCTGTGCTTTCAGTAACGTTTGAATCAACACAAAGCTGAAATGCGTCGAAAAAAGTAGAAAAAGGAAACAGGTTATAATAGCCCTGCGCGATAAAGGATTTCCATTCCCTTTTAAGGATTTACGAAGAAGAAACGTGGAAATATTTGAAATTATAAGGAAGTTTTTCTTGATGAGAAGAGAAGAGGCTGTTTTAATGTTTAATGGCGTTTATTAATTCACAATAGCTGACGTTCGGCGGTTTCGACTTTTTCAGAGCTTGCAAAGTTCCAATTCACAGAAAATCTAATCAGCCAAACATTTTCATAACGTCAGCAGACACAAATTAACACGTCCAAATGAACCTATCAAGTAGCGGTTACCTGACAAAGTGGTATCGAAAGCCAAGTAACAAGAACATCCTTGTTCATTTCCTTTCTTCCCACCCTTCACACACAAAGAGGGCGATTGTGAGAAACATGTTTCGAACAGCCACCTCTGTGTGCACTACCAGGGAACTAAAGGAAGAATCGCGCGACTTGGCTCGGCAAATAGCCGTCTCCAATGGCTACGAAATAGTAACCGCACGAGATAAGTTTACAAGGAGAACGACGCGCCCACAAGAAACACTTGACCAAAAGAAAGTCCCGTTCATGTTGCCTTTTATAAGCAATGAAGCAAGCGCAGCTATAAAACGATGCTTAAGAAGGGCAGGTCTAGAGGAATCGGTAGCGATAGTTGAAATACCACCGACTACTCTACGTCGCCAATTAGTTCGCAACCGCCTGTATGACCGTCTGTGTGAAACAACAAATTGCGTAATTTGCCCTTACGGCAGGGACGGTGATTGCATGAGTTCGGGTACGATATACCTGATCTCTTGTAATAATTGCGGAGATGAATATATTGGCGAAACGGGCAGACCTTTGTGTATCCGTATAAAAGAACACCTAGATGGCAAACGAAAACTAAGACGAAGCACCCCACTAGGCACGCATAGGATACAAAAGCATAGCGGAGACAATTTTGAAGTAAAAGTCAATATCCGTGCACAGGAGTCCAAAACACCAGCGCGAAAACTCCTAGAGGCTTTTTGGATCAATGCCAAAAACCCTACAATGAATAGCAGGGATGAATGCCCTGAGGTCACACGCGACCTGATCCCGTACGTTCGCATCGATTTTTGATGTGGGATGGCGCAGTCGTCAACCACATGCGACTATAATCAGCTGTTCTAAACTTCCTCATTGGAAGTCACGAAAAAGCGATGGGTTTTTCGAGAAGTTGTTGATCGTGTAATTACCAAAGAGTCTTTCGTCTTTGTGTAAGTGTTATTGAAGCGTTTGGCCTAGTAGATTGTATATCAGTATACCCTTCCAGGCTCTGAAGAAGGCGATACTGCCGAAACGTCAGCTAGCGTTGTATCGTATTGTGTTTTTATGGAAGTAAATGTATGCTGTTTAAAAACCTCGCGATTGCTGAACAAGAAAACGACACACAAATTAATACATAAATTTTACATAACATAACAAACAGCCTCTTTTAAGCACTCACCTTTTCCGCTGGTACTTCACATAGCAATTCCCAAGACCGACTTTCTGTTAACCTCGGCATTGATTGATTGATGATTCGATGTTTTTCTTCAATAAGAAGACCTCGCGTCTGCTTATTGAAGAAAAACATCGAATCACTGTTTTGTTCTTTGTAAGCCTCCCAGTTATTTCTTGGTGGTAACCTACCGCACAGAGTCTTGATGAGTGAGGAATATGCCTGGCTCAAGTCAAAAATCAATCTAACATACGGCACGAGGTGACGCCAGGTCACAAGGCACTCTTCCCTGCGATTTATTTTTGGATTTCTAAACACATTGAAAACACTTGAAGGATTCTAGGTAGTGGTCTTTTTGATCCTTGTGCAACAATAGTGACTTTAACTTCAAAATCTTCTCCGTTGTGTTTTTGTTTCCTACACGCGCCTACCGGAGTGCGCCATGAGGAAGCGTCTTCCGAAGACCCGGCTGAAAGTAAAAGTTTACCACTTCCGGTACCAAGGCGATAAGTTCTGAACTTCCCCCGATCCATAAACTTTGGTAAATGATTGTTTCGATGGACAAAATAAGTACTGCAACACAGGTTTCTTATCCCTTGTTTCCTAACCCGAATGTCGGTGAGTGCAACCATTTTTGAATGATGGCAACGTCCGGAGGAACAACACTTGAACATGAAATATAACATATGCAAAACTTTATCTCGATATTACACATTGTTGAAAAATTGAATGTGACACTAGGTTCCTCTTATTGGTTAATATCACCTTCGCATGATATCAAACACAGTATCCGCAGGTCTTTCGGCACTGTTGTCTCATCAACGTCAAGTATAACGTGTTGGTGCAATAACTCGCCATCTGCGGACAATCAGAGACTCCTGTGGCTGGATTGAGCAAATCCCGACATCCTGGACAAAGCAAAATTGGGATATCTTTGAGAACGATTTAGATCTTTCAAGACATCTACAATCATGGAACACCGAAGCACATTGCATCAGGCACATAATGCTATCCAAGTGCTCAAACTACAACAAAACAGCGAATTTCGATACCTACGTGAATAAAGAGCTAAACTCTCAGTACGATGAGTAAAAAAATTGACTGGAAAAAATTTATTTTTTATAAAAGTATCACAAAACTCCTCATAGAACATTTTTGTGTAAGTGAATCGGTGAGAACTAACCTGGCGAAGTCGCTGTTGTCCGGCGTGAAATTGCTCTTGTTCCTGGGCATCTGTTACAAGTTCTGGGACACTGTTCAGTCATCAGTGTGTAGTAAACTGTGTCGTTACACAGATTCGCTCTATTCGGACAATCAGATACACCAGTTTGAGGATTGAGACGATCCGCACAATCTGACCGCATTTCATTAACATTTTTTTGGAACAAATAAGGAATTCGTAGCAGTGCGATTTTACAGTATGTCGCATGCAATAGCTGTACACTGTTCTCATTGAAGAATTGGAGGCGCTGCATATTACGAAACGGTTGTCTCGTGAGTTTTGACGGAAATGTCATCGTGTCCTTGAAAACTGGATGTAATCTTAATGCTCTCTCGTATGGTTTATAAATCGGTTGTCTATGGAATTTGTAGCACTTTCAGTTCGGTAGGGTAGGGTAGATGTACACACGATTAGCTTCTTAAGCTCACATGAATTACGTATGATTCTTATCCGGTGAAGACAACCCAAAGCACTACTAATAGATACGTCTTAATCACATGATTGCAGACCTTTGCAATAATTCTCGTCGAGGTCTACAGAAGTCACTCAATTCCTTATGTATGTACCTAATTCCCTAACGCCATTTAAAGATCTCATCGCTTCAAGATAGCCGAATCAAGATCCACCTCATGAGCGAATTAAGAAGGCGCAAAGAATAACACGCATTTGTAAATATGTATAAGCAATAATTAACGTTTGCCGTCGGATTCTTTAGAGGTGGTTGGCACATTTTTGTCATCGATACTTAAATTCGATGTGCACGTTTCTGCATTACTAAGCGAAGCTAAAAGCTAAACATTTGTTCAGCAGAACTGAGAGAATGAAGGATCCAGAGACGAAGCCAATGCTTCGTAAGGCAAATTAAGTAAGGCAAAAAACTTCAGAAACTCACTCCCAACTGATGGAGTGGTGACGCCAACGTTGATGATCTACAAAAAGTGAAATGAGCCCAACAAAGTCAAAAAAGGAGAATGTTTAGGAAAACATTGGAAGAAAACAATTGGTTTGTGGTATGGCCATTTTATCATAAGCCCTAAGCGGTCTAATATTGCTGGAAATATTAGTAGCAATAGTAATAATAGTAACGATAACAGTAATAGTGACATCAGCACTAATAGGTTGGTAATACTTAATTAACAAGGGCTCGTGTAGTGCAGTCGTTGGAGACGCCACTGCGACACACATGCAATCAATCCCCGCGCACATGGCCCACCAAGCCTTCCATCGTCCTGGAGTTGGCAAATTGGTACCAGAGTTGTCTGCGAGGATAGCAGCACTGGTTCGACCTATCGGTAAGCCACCTCAACGCCGAGGGCTTTATCCTTTTAATGCTTAATAACAACCGCTTGAATCAACTAACCATCCTGTTATTGCAGCATACTCGACCGTTCACAGTAGTGATACAAGTCTGTCTTCGTGACAGACAGGTGCCACCAATACAGGCTAAAAAAATTGAACATAATAATTCAATCACGATGTTGCTGAGATATTTGAAAAGTCTGGACCGCAAATACCTGCGGTGGGGATCGAACGCGATACGATTTTTGCATTTGCAAATACCTCAGCATCATTGTGGTTACATTTTGCAATTTCACACAAGAATCTGCTGCGAAAACTTGTAGTAGGCAGAAAATAAAAAGTAAAACACTGTAATCGAAGTTAGTTGTTATTCAACACAATTTAGCGAGAAGTCTAAAATCGCCTGGCAAATCTGCTTTGCACAACTCGTCTACGGCTATTATGAATAGATGGAGGTATGTTGCCCAGAAATTATTACCCCATTAGTAATATTATTTTTTCTCTATATTTTTCAGCTATAGTTTATTTTCGAATGCAGTGTAGTCTTCTATAGTTCTATTGGAAAATTCTATTGGAAAATAGTTCTTCTAACGAATTTTAAATGTCAGAGTTTCGGATGTCAAAACTGCAATCTCGGCAAAGCACTTCTATGAATTCAAATGTGAAGGTGCCCATCGAAACAGCTCGGCACAAAAATAGCGCAATGAGCCGAGGGGTGCTTACGGACGCGCAGCGCAGCGTTGACCTATGGAATTTGATCGCGGCGAATTTGATCTCAACGATCAGGAAGGTCGCGCGCGTCTTTTTCGCCCTTCTGCCACTGCCGACGATGAATAGAAGGCTTAGGTGGAAGCAAATGCACACACAACATTCAACCGAATTCGCACAAAATAGGTGTTCATATTTCAACTGTTTTGGAAAGTTCAAAAAAATTCTTTATATTTTTGTTTAACAAACACTACGTGTTAGTTTATTATTTATTGCGGGAAATCTGACGTTTTGGCGTATTTCGCCTTCCTTAGGCCCTGAAAAGGTCACGTTGTTCGCAATCTACCCAGCCAAGCACCTCCATAAGGAAACAGAGAAAACGCCAAGCCAAGATTTCAACCATATTGAGCGCAGATTAGCTTCTTTACGCAGTCACCGTTTTCTGTGAGTCTTCCATTGAGGTATGATTATTATTTGATCATTGTCGAGGTTAGCAGTCGTGGGAATTACATTTAAAAAATACTGGAAGGTTGAAGAAGCTTAGTATCTTCTGCGGTACTTCTGCGCAACTACACTGACGTGTTTTTCCATCGCATTGTGACGTCCTCCGTGATAACTACCAACGATCGGCTTAGTTGTTGGAGTGTCTGCAGCAATTCCCAAAGCGGAAAGTGCTCAAAATGATGGTCATAATGACCGCTTGCTACTTCGCCACTGATAATCCATCACAACTTCCTGAATCTAGAAGAAGCGATTACGGCAGAAAAGTACATCCAGAAAATTGGCGAGAAGCACTAGAAAATTCAAAGGCTGTGGCTCGCATTGTTTGACAGAAAGGGACCAATCCTCCTCCACTTTACTGCGAGGCCATGCTTCGCACATCCGATGGTGCAAATGTTCAACGAGCTGAGTTGAAATACTCTGTTTTATTTGCAATACTTTACAAACTTCTCAAGTATCAAAGACTAATTTTTCAAGCATCTCGCTAACTTGTGTACCAACAATGCTTCTAAAAACTTTGTCGGGGACGCAGAGGCCCCTCTTTGCCTTCGGAAGTCCGGATTTTTTAACCAAAATCTTGTTGGTAAAAATGCATTTCTAACGTTTCTTGTTTTGTTTAGCCAAGCTTTTTTCTGACCTGAGGCGTGCTACTTTGAAAATATGACTGACAATGAACATTAGGTTCTAGAGAAGATAAGCTCGAATTCACTTCTTACCTTTTTTCAGCAAAAAATAATTCCATTTTTCTTCATTTATCAGTAAGTGAGAACATTCAAGTACTTAAATATAAGTGCATTCTCAAAGAATTTTAATGAACCTTTAGTCTGTGATGGAGGAACGGTTCAATTTTTAGACATCAAAATTTCATGATGGCCACAGTTTCATTCCCTGAAGAGCACGGTAGTGACTAAGTTGCAGAAATTATGGCTACTTTCTAGCCAGTAAAAGACTTACGTCCCGATCCTCCATTGGCGCATCTTTGGAGTTGAGATTGAACCACATTAAAGAATAAGAACAAGGAAAATACAATCGCCATCATACTGTCTTCAAATCTGAGAGCACAAGTGAAGCGACGGAAAAAAACTGTTCAATTAAAAGCTCGGAAAAGTTTTAAAAATCCGAGGGCTTTCAACTTCAGGTGATAAAATGATCTGTTTGAATTCTGGAAACAAAGATCTAGAAATAAAGTGAAAGATTCTTTTGGATGGTTTGCCTGTATTAGTTCACGGTTCACTGGCTGCTCAAACTTTTCCAGTGATTTGCGTCACCTTTTGAATCATTTTCTATGCAGATGTTTTTTGTCATCGTACTCTTTCAGAACAAAGGATATGGAGCTCTACACAGAGCAGGTGTGTTGATTCTATTGTCAGAAGAGTTAATACCGCTGGGAGAAGAATGTTTGCACAGCAACGATTGTTCTTCTCTCTGCAGAGACCAAAATGTCGGATCCATTGTTGTTCATTGGTAATAGGAGTGAATTTTAACTCTAACGTGAAAAAAGTGAAAGCCAGTTTGGAGCGGTACTACAACTACATTTGTCACAGCGACTTTCATTATGATTGTGGTAGTCAACTTCTTCCTTGTATTATATAATAAAGACGAAGCGCTGGGCGTTGTTCATCCTTGGGGGTTACGGCATGTAGTTGACTTCATCGATCATCGAATGCATACTTAACCTGTGCAATTGTTTTTTTCTATTGATATTGATGTCCCACCGAAATATTAAACCATTGCTGATGTTCTCTTGGACGCTTCTGGCACCAATTTTTCGAGGACGGAGAAATGGAAGACTTGGTCAACCGGGGGCGGTGGGTCAAAACTGCTGTCAAATGTGTATTGCAGGGCAGCTCTAGTTACTATGCTACACCCTTTTTGGTATATCACTTGAATCACTTGTAGTCTTGTTGATCGTCGAGAGAGTCGAGCGTGCGCCAGCAAATCCTCATTTTTTCCCTGTCACGTGTAAAAGCAGCCCAGTGGGTTCTGCGTTCTTCAACTCTTCGATGAGCATCATATCTTTTTTTCTAGGTTTTTCGTGAAGAACTCTGACCATTGTGTCGGTGGTCTTCCTGCAGTGTGTTTGACATATCGAGGAATTCAGTTACTAACGGCTCCTTTCCATCGCTTGTCGTTCATACGCATTACGTGACGCCAGTAATTGATATGCCATTTTGCTTCCAGTGGAGAGTATTCATTAACCATTGCAATGTGGCGGTGCACAGCTCTTGGCGAGAATTTATCGCTTTGTCGAACCCTTTTTAATATGGGAGTAGTAAACGTTTGACGGTAAGCTGTATTTTCCGTTATGGTTACGACAACAAGCAGCTAGAGTTTCTATACCGGACTATTGCACTCTTTGTTAAGTCACCGGTGAGGGAACTGCAACCAATTCGGCACTGTTAAACGTTCCATCGTGGTCGACAAAGGTGAGGAGGACAAGAGACAAATGATAGACCTCAAAAAACTTCTTTACTAGTGGCACGGTTTGGATGTGGTTCCGCTAGCAGAATCCTTATCGGAATCCTGCTTTTCCACGTGGTTGTGCCTCATCCGTGGTTTTGATATACGCGAAAGGAACATCTCGCAGAGTAGAGTCAACAAGCATATAGGACGATAGTTACGAAGACCCTTTCCATAACCCTTCTCGTGCAACCGTCCTGCACTTATCTGAGATTTTTTTCTTTTTGGAGGCCATATGCCGTGAACTTTGTGAGAAGTGAGAATAGTTCATAGCTTCCAGATCGAAGAAAATCTGCTATAATGCTACCAGGTTCTAAACCTCTGTCTGTACTCAATGAAAGGAAAGAAAGGTTAAAGATAAAAACGAAAGTCGGTTTCTAAAATTATGAATGGGCTTGATAATAAAATTTAACAAACCAAGTTTCTGTATACTAACTAGACCATTTAAACACAACCTAGTTTCGCCGCTACAGAATCGTTTACCTATCAGCCTTCTCCTTTTGCTTCAATTTCGTGCCTTGGCTGCCTAGCGCTCTCCAGTTGTTCAAAGAGCATGAAGACGTCGCATTTCTGCTACAAGGTTTAACTGAATTTTTGAGAAAAGTAGCTATAGGTTGCTAACCGAGCACTATCGTTGCAGAAATTTCAGCCTTGATATTAAGTACAAGATACAGAAGGTTTGGTGCTGATCAATTCCTGTCGTATACACAATAACTAAGGCAAAATAACTTCCTGATGAAACAGACCACGTCATACTAAATCGAAGGGTATGCCTAACAGTTTTCGCTGTTTTCTCATAATTTCACGTATAATGAAATTATCACCACCTTTGTGCAAGATTTTATCTCTCGCTGGAAGGAACAAAAAAAGCAAAATTCAAAAAATGAAGTCCGAAAACCACCATAAACTGGGACTTATTCAATTCATTAGTCAGCCGTTGGGGAGACGACGTTTTCGATAATATCGACGAGAAATGAGTTCGGCTCATTCAACATCTTCACGTTAGCGCTATGAGAGCTGAAAGCTCGAAAGTCACCAACAGACGTCTGTCTCCAGAAACGGGAGCTGATACGCCAGCGTGGAATCGAACGGATTACAGTCAACTGCCAACTCATGTCTGAACTTGCGAAACAATGCAGACAGACGACAAAAGAAGATCTTAAGAAGGGAAGAGCAGAGGTATGGACGATGCTGCCGAGACTGGCAAAAGCATTGGTGAAGTCCACCGAGTCTTTGCAAATTATAAAATCAAGGTGATTACAATTCGACATTCAGACGGAATAGTTACACCTTTCAGATAGGTAACGGAGAAAATCATTCACGATTACTACACGAACCTCCTCAATTGCCATATACACCTACCTCTCTTTATAGGAAATTGATGAGGATAGATAT